GAAATCCAGGTCTCCTACTCCTCTGCCATCTTGCTCCACCCTCGCATAGAATCTTCTGTTTGAGGAAACCAATGCACATTGTTATTAATCTCATGGAACTAGAATAAGTCAACACTGATGACTTGGATTCAGCTCTGTGTAAATGGAGAACCCCCACATTCAGCCTGAGCAATGAGGAAGGTGCTCATTTCTCACACGGAAGGATGAAAGAGTACCGGCAGCAGAGCGTCAAAGTCCCATGTGCCTGTTAGCTATGCCATTATATCTGTTGTCCTGAAATCAGATCCCTGATCTCAAATTATTGGGAAGATGGGTGTTTGCTATACAAATGATATTTTTTCCTTTTTAAAATATTTTTAAAAACTAAGCTCTCTGCTCAATATGGGGTTCAAACTTATGAAACTGAGATCAAGAGTTGAATGCTTCACTGACTGAGCCAGGCTGGCACCCACGAATGCTATCTTATATCTTTTTTTTTAAGATTATTTATTTATTTAATTGACAGAGAGAGAGAGAGAGAACACAAGTGGGAGAGGGAGAAGCAGGCTTCCTGCGAAACGGGGAGCCCGATGCGGGGCTCGATCCCAGAACCCCGGGATCACGACCTGAGCCGAAGGCAGTCGCTTAACCAACTGAGCCACCCAGGTGCCCATGCTATCTTATATCTTATACAGATATGATAAGAGCTATAGAAGTGGGGAGTCAAAGTACCAGAGAAAATCAACAACCATGACAGCCCAGCCTAAATCAGTGGCCTGAGGACCACAGTGGGGTTGCTGGAAAACCCAAAGCTGTGGATTGCTGATGATAGAATCCCATCCTTAATGGGGGAGATTTTGGAGATAGAAGTGGAAATCAGGACCGCTAAGAAATAGAAGGAAAAGGTTGGTTTTGGGTTTGGGTACATGCCTGACTGACAGGCTATTCATCAGAACGATGGGCTGCAAGCTGTTGCCCAACCAGCTCCCACATATTGGTCCATCTGTATGGTGACCCCAGTCCTAGACTAGGGCATCTTTACTTGTACTTTCTTTCTTTTTAAGGATTTTATTTATTTATTTGACAGAGAGAGACACAGTGAGAGAAGGAACACAAGCAGGGGGAGAGGGAGAGGGAGAAGCAGGCCTCCCGTGGAGCAGGGAGCCCGATGCGGGGCTCGATCCCAGGACCCCAGGATCATGACCTGAGCTGAAGGCAGACACTAAACGACTGAGCCCCTTTACTTGTACTTTCAATGCTCATGCAAGTTAGGCCACTGGTGAATTGTCACCTAGAATCATCAAGATGGGAATTTAGGGAAATATGCCTGTTGGCCTTATCACAATGAAATAACACAATTCAGCAGAACTATAATTATCTATGTGTGCATTCATTGACCTTTCACAGTTCCATGAAAAAATGTAGTACAGTGAAGGGATTAAAGGAAAATGTACTTGGAGATAATATATATATTTCAGAAATATACATGTATATATAGTCCAAAATATGTACGTATATTTCAGAGACATATATGCATATGTGGTTGGAAGGACTAAGAAATCAAACCAGGAACAATTTCAGTTAACCAAAATTGTTAATTGCAGTCTTAATACTGCTACTTGATACCTAAATTGATAAGATCTATGCAGTAGAGGCATACACATACTCTGGGCTCAGTATTGTACCCCCCAAATTTCATGCCAAATGGAACCTCAGAATACACCCTCATCTAGAAATAAAGCAAACACACAGGTAATGAAGATGAGACCATACGGGATTAGGGTAGGTCTTGATCCAGTGATGGGTATCCTTATAAAACTGGGAAATTTGGACACAGAGACCTGCACTGAAGACAGACAGGGTTTGACCATGTGCGACAGAAGCAGGGAGTGGCATGATGTGTCTACCTGCCAAAGAATGCAAAGGATTGTTGGCAACTGCCTGAAGCTGGGAGAGAAGCCTGGGACAGATTCTCCTTCAGAGCCTCCAGAAGGAACCAACCTTGCAGACAACTTGATCTCAGCGTTCCAGCCTCCTCAATTGTGACACAACAAATGTCTGTCGTTTCTGCCGCCCAGTGTGTGGCACTTTGTTATGGCAGCCCCAGGAGACGAATGCAGTTCTCAAGGAGGGAGGGTGCCTTGGATATCCGAAGGACAGCTGGAGGCCAGGGTGCCCACAGCAGAGTGAGAGGGGGAGAAGGAACAGCAGAGGGAGAGGAGAATGCTGGGGGTGGGTCGCATGCGCTGGCTGGACAAGAAGACTGACTTTGGTGGTGGGTGGCCTGGACCTTCAAGATGAGCTGATGAGGCGGCCTCACAGGATCCATCTGTTACCATGACAACAGGCACTAGGATGGCAATGTCGGCCAAGGTGGTGGATCAGACTGGGTTGGTAGCAGTGGCAGTGATGTGGAGGTTGGACCCCAGATACAATTGAAGTTAGAGCCATCAGAATTTCGTTGCTTGGTGGTGGGCTGAGAGAGAGAGAGGGTCAAGGGAGACTCCATTATTTTGTTCGGGAAAAACTGGCATGATGGCGATGCATCCGCTGATATGTAGGTCTTCGCACATGGAGAAGGTTTTGGTGGAGCGGCAGGAGAGCACCTTGAAGCCTGTTGAGTTGGAGACGAGATAGCGCACATGAAAGGAGAGGATAAGCTCTTCACAATGTTAAGCAATTTCACTATAATTCAAAACAACTTTGAAAAGTAACTTATGAGAAACATTGGTTTTATAAGCAAAAAATATGGAATCACTAAGATAGCTGCAAACAGTTGAATCAACCCAGGAAAATGGTTGAGTCCTAGAAGGGCAGCACAGCTGAATACAAAAATGAATGATGTGTAAGGTACAGAAGACAAAGCATATTTGAACAAAGGAGGTTTGATATAAAATGGCATGAACCTTTTGACTCCTTTTTACATGCAATATAAAACAAGAACAAGTGTGCACATAGGTGATGAAAATAAGGGACCAAAAGGAAAGGAAGTTTTCAAAGTTGAGTTATTGGTGTCTGCAGGGGCTCAGGGTGTGTTTTCTGACAGGACATCAGCCCAGGTAGGATGTGGGCTGTCACCACCTCTTTCTTGTCCATGTTGTGATGTCATGGATGCTTATTTTGTTATATTTCTGTCAAATGTACATTTCATGCATTTTTCTGCATGTATAATTTACAGGAGAATGCCATGGAATGAATTAATATAACTCATCTCAATGCCACCTTTTATTTTATTTTTTTAATTTTTAGTTTATTTAAAAAATTATTTATTTTGGGAGAGTGGGGAGGGGCAGAAGGAGAAAGAGAGGGAATCGTGAGCAGCCTCTGCACTGAGCTCAGAGCCCAACACAGGGCTCAATCTCCCAACCCTGAGACCGTGACCTAAGCCAAAATCAAGAGTTGGATGCTTAACCAACTGAGCCACCCAGGCACTCCCCAATGACACATTTTAAAAAACCTATCTAAAATTATCTTAGTAGGCAGAGAAAGAGCATTTTGTAGTATTCAACATTCACAGTATGATAAATACACTTACTAATAATGAGAATACATGAGAACTCTCAAATCCTCTTGGAGGGCATCTCTAAAATGTGGTTTATGAAAGAATGCACACGTGTGTGTTTACAGTCACCTGTTCAGTAGAATTCTATGCACATCATGAAAACCCAGCACTCTGATCCCCTTCAGCAGGATTGTAGATCTCCCAGCCAGAACTAGGACATGTCAGTGTAAAAGTTACATTAAGAAAAAAGGAACTTGGGGCGCCTGGGGGGCTCAGTCGTTAAGCATTTACCTTTGCCTCAGGTCATGATCCCAGGGTCCTGGGATTGAGCCCAGCATTGGGCTCCCTGCTCAGCCGGAAGCCTGCTTCTCCCTCTCCCACTCCCTCTGCTTGTGTTCCCTCTCTCACTGTGTCTCTCTCTGTCAAATAAATAAATAAAATCTTAAAAAGAGAGAGAGAGAGAGAGAGAAAAGGAACTTGTCCTGTTTCATAGCCAACGCCAATGTGTATATAGAACCTCAAGCCTATCACAGTAATTAAAAAAAAAAAGATAATTAACAGGTTTTGAGGATGTGTTCAGAATGTCCTTCCATTTCCATTTCTAATCACTATCAAAAAGATAGTATTTAAAGGACGACATGTATAAAAGTCAAAATAAGTTATTCAAGGATCAAATAAACTTTATGAAGAGGGAGAACCTAATGTGAAAATTGTACAATTATATTCATTGACATCAAAAACGACCAAAACAAATGCAAATCTGGTGCATATTCTAAGAAATGAAAATCAATGTTGCCATGATGTGCATAATTGCCAAATAGCTGAATCAATCAATATTATAACCAGTTTTTCCCTGGAACTCTGTCGCATCCTGATGGGGCGCCGCTCAAGGGAAGCTCCGCGGAGAAACCGAGTCAGAGTCCCGGGACAGAAGGAGGACGCAGGTGGGTTAGCGGGCCAGGAGCACCTTGTGCTGGGAGCCAGCCTCGCGGCCGGCCGATGAGACTCGTGTGTAGCACCAGCTTATTAGTCGGGATTCAGGAGGCGAGGTCTCGGAGATCTGCCCAATCCGGGACCACAGGGGCGGTGCCGGGACTGCTGTCCAATCAGAACGTGAAGGGCTGAAGGCTGTCCTATCACGGTGCGAGGAGCTCGGGGAGCAACATCCAATCAGGGTCGCGGGGAGTCTCTGTATTACCAATCACGTCGCAGGACCTGAAGCAACGACCAATCGGGGGCGCGTATCGCGGTGAAAGGCTCATCCTCCGGAAACTGTCCAATGGGGCCTGGGGGCGGGGGGCGGGGGGCGGATCCCGCCCCCGTGGACCTGTGTCCGCGCCGGCCGCCGGCTGGTGCTCACCCGCCGGTAGCTGGCCCAGGTGCGGTGCGCGCGGAGAGCCCGCGTGCCCAGGCGGCAGTGCCGCGTGGAGGAGTCCTGGAGAGCTCGGAGCAGAGCCGCGAGATGGTGAGCCGCGGGCCCGGGCGAGACCGGGAGGGGCTCGGTCCAACCAGCCGCATCCGGCTGGAAGTGGCGGCGGGTCCGGGTCTCCCGGCCCCCGGGGGTCCCCTCCGGACTCTCCGCCCCCGGTCGCGGGGTGGGATTCCTGCGTCCTGTCCTCTCTCCTCGTGGGTGTCCCGGTGGTCCCACCCGATAACCTGTGATGGGCCGTGGTTTCCGGTGTCCTGTCACATCCCCGCGTGTGGGCCCTGCGGTCCCGTCCCTAGTCCCTGCCATGGGCCGCGGGGGGGGGGGGTCCTGGCATCCTGTCCCCTCCCCTCGTGGAGGCTCCCCGGGTTCCGTCCTGATTCTCTGCCGCGGGCCATGGGGTGGGGTTGCGGTATCCCGGTCACACGCTCGCATGGGTTCCTGGGGGCCCGAGGGTTCCATCCTGAACCTCCACTCTCGGGTACGGGGCGGGGAGGGGTCCCGAGGTCCAGGTGTGATGATGACCCGGGGGTTCCCGGAGGCCAGCCTGTCCGCAGGAGGGGCTGTGTGCGGCTCAGGCTGAGGGCAGGTCCACCACGTTCAGGGTCTGGAGGAAGGAGAGAAGCCAGACCAACGTTGAAGCAGCAAGCGTTTTGTGCCCGTGGGTCCGTGGGGACAAGCAGCTGAGCGAATCGTGGATGAGGCACAGAGTGTGGATTTGGGGGGTCTGTGCCCGGCCCTGGGGTGGATGAACAAGGGGGACTTCGCTGTGAGTCCTATCTTGGTGGCGTGGGGAAGGGGCCCTTTTTGCAGCCTGCTGTTTTCCAGGCGCCAACAGGGTGGGGGAGGGAGTGCCTTTCACCTCCACGGATGCTCGCCCAGGAGCACAGGACTCAGGTAGAGCCTGCCTGTCACTGACCCCGGGGGCAGCATTGTCCCTGTCTAGCTCAGCACTGGCAGCTCTCTCTTAGGCCGCCTCAACGTTCAGCAGCTGGAAAACGACTGAATGCTTTGTGCTCCTTCCCTCCCCTTTAGCGTGGAGGGTGGTCAGTGGGTCACGTCTTCCTTTTCCTGCTGACTCGTGTTATTCTGGGGCTTATCCAGAGAATGTGCACTGGGGGGAAAGTGTCTCAGTACAGAAACAGTCCCTGTTCATTAGGATTGGGGGGAATATGCACGGAGTTCCCCACCTTCTTGTCAGGTGACCCCAGTGTTTGCAAGCACTGAAGAATTTGCGCTACATTTGCAGGGGTAAGATTGTTATATGCTATTGCGGGAGCAGCTCCCAGTGTGCTGCCCCCCGGTACTGCTGGGCTGCTTCTTTGCATTTGCAGCTTTGCCTCTGTTTCCCTCAGCAAGGCTTGTGTGGCTTGATTGGCCTCTGTTGAACTTGCCTGAGTGAACAGTACTGGTGTAGTCATTTACCGTCATGGGTGCAGTGTGGCTCCTCAGCCCGGGTTTGTGTCCTCGTGTAGGCGTCTGCAGCTCTGGTCACAGTTCACTCCGCCTTTCTCGTGCTTCTGTGCCTTGGGGTATTTCACGTGCTGTGCGGTTTTTGGTTGGTCACTGCTACTTCATTCTTTCTTACTTTTGTTTCCAAGTGCAAAATGCAACTTAATATACACTTGAGAGAAAAACTGTGGGATTGGAGATTATGGGTAACTTCAATTTACTAGGAAGGGATCCCCGGGGGCCTGTATGAAATGCCATGCCCTCTCTTTCCCCGATCTGTGCCTATGTGTTTAATCCTTCCATGGGATGTCAGCACCTAGAAATGCCTACTGTATTTTTTCTCATCCAGTGTGTGAGCCAGAGTCTCCCCCTTATTATGTATAATTCTGACTTCTTATAATTGAGGCTGAGCATGTGGGGTTTCATCTTGTGTGGGAGAGTTTCCTGGCATGTTCCCACCTCTAGTTTGTGTATTGATTTATGTGTTCTTTACATACTCTGGACATGAGTCCTTTGTTATTTTTAGGTAGTGAAGGCATTTTCTCCTGGAGGGTGGTTTACCTTTTCACTCTCCTTACTCAGTGCTACTGAATGGACTCCTCTGAATTTTAAGAGAATTGTGATCGTCAGTGCCTTCCTTTGTAACTTATTTTTTCCCTTTATATTAGGAAACTTTGTAATAGCAAGTTCTAGAACACTTGTGTTTACCTCCTTCTGCAAGTGTTCTGCTTGTAAAATCTGCATTAAATTGTTTCTTCTAGGGACGCCTGGGTGGCTCAGTCGGTTAAGCGTCTGCATTCAGCTCAGGTCATGATCCCAGGGTCCTGGGATCGAGCCCCGCATCGGGCTCCCTGCTCAGCGGGAAGCCTGCTTCTCCCTCTCCCTCTGCCTGCCTCTCTGCCTACTTGTGCTCTCTCTCTGTCAAATAAATAAATAAATAAAATCTTTAAAAAAATTGTTTCTTCTACATGAAATTGGTATGAAAGACATTCATCATATCCCCTAGATAACCCCTGGCACCACCTTCTGTGGGAAAATGTCCAGCATTTCCACCACTGGGCAGAGCCTGCCAGGGCAGAGCTTGCTGGGACTGGGTGGTGCCTGCGGGGGTGGGTGGGGGGCACTGGGTGGAGCCTGCCTTACTGGGCGGTGCCTGCTGGGACTGGGAGGAGCCTACGCACCCTCAGCACGGAGGCCTGTCTCAGTGGCTTCCATTCTTACCCACTGGTCCCTCTCTCTGCTCTTGTATACCAGCCTGATTCGGTTGTTATTCACATGCCTTGATGTTTTAGGCAGTCTGTTCCCCCTTGTTCTGTAGAAAACTTGGCTATTCGTAGACATTTGCCTTCAGTTTCAGTTTTTTGATGTTGTTTTTCATAAATTCAAAACTACAAAGCCCAAACTGGTTTGGGATTTCGTGGAACATCATTAAAAGTCTGGAGTTGCAGGGCGCCTGGGTGGCTCAGTCGTTGAGCGTCTGCCTTTGGCTCAGGTCATGATCCCACATCGGGCTCCCTGCTCCGCGGGAAGCCTGCTTCTCCCTCTCCCACTCCCCCTGCTTGTGTTCCCTCTCTCGCTGTGACTCTCTCTGTCAAATAAATAAATAAATAAAAATCTTTAAAAAGTCTGGAGTTGCTGTCCTGGTGGGCCGTTTTCTTTCAGAGAACACGTTGCACCATCCTTCCATTTCTGCCTTTCCACTCCGATGTCATCCAGGAGCATTTTAGGATGTTTCCTTTACGATCCTTTTATGTTTGTATTCGACGTTGTATTTGGAAAGGCTATGGTTCTCCTACATCTTTCCACTTTTACACAGAACACTTCAGTTCTGACACTTCTGGTCACTGGATATGCAGCTGTTTCCCCCACACCAATCAACTGTCTGCAGCACTAGCTGGGTGTGCTATGGTCTAACTCAATTCTGACACTTTCTGCCCGGAGACAGCATCAGACCCCACAAGCTGGGGTTCAGTCCCATAAGACTGCCTCCCTTCCATAAGCCTATTGCAGTTCCTAGAGCCCAGGTCACCCGCAACTGTCTGACTTGGCTACAAGTCAGAGGTTCCCACGACCCCCTCCTTGGATTTAGTTGCTAGAGCGGCTCATAGAACTCAGGGACCAAACACTTAACAGTTACCAGTTTGTGAAGGAATATGATAAATGGTTCAGATGAACAGCCAGATGAAGAGGTACATAGGGGGAGGGCCCTGAGCACAGGAGCTTCTCTTCCTGTGGAGTTGGGGTGCATCATCCTCCTGATGTGGGTCAGATCACCTAGCTGGATGCCTTCTGCACCCCATACTATTGGAATTTTAGAGGCGTCCTCACCTAGGCATGGTCAGTGATTAACTATGACCCTAGACCCTCTCCTGAGACTGGAGGGATGTGGTGTGGAGCTGAAAATTCCAAGCTTGTGGTCATGGCTTGATCTTTCTGGTGACCAGCCCCCATCCATGAGCCACCCAGAGTCGCCTCATTAACATAAAAGATGCTCCTAGTGCTCTTATGACTTCATAATTTACAAGGATTTCAGGAGCTCTGTGCTAAGAACTGGCGGCAGAGACCAATATATATATTTTCTCTTACCTCACAGACATACTTTAGGACTTAAAAAAATGTGTAATAAATTGAAAAGTTGTCATTAAAATTAGTTACATATATTCTAGGTTAGACTCTAAAATTTTTCTTTATCATTTTTTTAATTTTAATCACCTGGTATTCATCACACTTGCCCTCCTTAATCCGCATCCCCTATTTTCCCCATCCCCCACCCGCCTCCCCTCTGGTAACCATCAGTTTTTTCTCTATGGTTAAAAGTTTCTTTCTTGGTTTGTCTCCTCTCTTTTTTCCCCCTTTGTTTTGTTTCTTAAATTCCACATGACTGAGATCATATGGTATTTGCCTTTCTCTGACTTATTTCATTTAGCATACTATTATCTAGCTCCATCCATGTTGTTACAAATGGCAAGATTTCATTCCTTTTTATGGCTGAGTAATAGTCCATTGTATATACACCACATTTCTTTATCCATTCATCAGTTGATGGATACCTGGGCTCTTTCTCTATCTTGGCTATTGAAAATAATGCTGCAGTAAACATCAGGGTGCATATATCCCTTTGAATTAGTGTCTTTGTATTTTGGGGGTACATACCTAGTAGTACAATTGCTGGATTGTAGGGTAGTTCTATTTTTAACTTTTTTGAGAAAACTCCATACTGTTTTCCAGAGTGGCTGCACCAGTTTGCATTCCCACCAACAGTGTAGGAGGGTTCCCCTTTCTCCGCATCCTCACCAACACCTGTTGTTTCCTGTGTTAATGATTTTAGCCATCCTGACAGGTGTGAGGTGATATCCATCTTGTTTTGATTTATATTTCCCTGTTGATGAGGGATGTTGAGCCTCTTTTCATGTGTCTGTTGGCCATCTGTAGGTCTTCTTTGGAGAAATGTTTGTTCATGTCTTCTGTCCATTTTTAAGTTAATTTAATTATTTAGAGACAGAGAGCGCAAGTGGGGGTGGGGAGAGGGAGAGAGAATCTTAAGCAGGCACCATGCCCAGCTGGAAGGTGATGTGGGGCTCAATCTC